TCACTAGAGCCTAATGGTTTAGATACATCTGTAGATTCATTCACCACTGTTGCAGATTTAACAGGAGTACTTTTAGCTTTTTTATTCACTTTAAGATTTGTGCCATTTACTACAAGATTAAGTTTTTGTTTATTGGTTTCATTTTGCATTGATTTGGCAGATTCAGATGTACCACTTTGTTGTGTTGCAGGTATTTTTTGTGAAGTGTTCGGTGAGTTACTTAAAATGTTAGCAACATTCTGAGTTGCAATAGTTACATTTTGTTTGGTTGAATTATTGAGTGCAATTTTTGCTTGAGGTTTTAATATAGATACAGGTGTTGAAATCTGTGTTGGCTTTAAAATCGATGTGGAACTTGTTGTTGCTATTTTCAAATCTTGAGTTTTAACAATTGATGCAGTTCGAAGTACAACTGGTGTATTAGAATTAGCTGTAGTTTTTGACATTCCAGTTGTTCCTGTAGTTTTTTTGCCAATTGTAGTTTTTGTTTTAAATAGTTGAGAAGGAATTTGTACTGATTTTAAAAATTGTGCAGGAATAGCTGTAGTTACACTAGTATTATTTAAAAGTTGATTAGACTTTGGAAGCACAGTTGATGCACCTTTTAGCACCGGAGTTAAAAATTGTTGAACATTTCCTCTTTGAAGAGGCTGTGATGTTTTTACAATAGGAGATAAACGTATTTGTGAAGTAACCAGATTTTGTGTTGCACCAGATGTGGTATTTACTATAGTATTAGAAATATGTGATGTACCAATTGATTGATTCTGTATTTCACAAGCACCTGCTAAAAGCTGAGATGTGTTTAACAATTGTGCAGATATACCACTGGTATTTAACAATTGGGCTGTTATAGGAGTAGCTTTTATTATTTGTGGTGACAGATTATTTAATATTGTAGCCTTTGAAAGTAATACAGAATTAGGATTTGAATTAGTATTAAGTGAATGTACAGTGTTAATGGGATTAACAGTTGTGTTAGTAAGTTTATTTGAACCTTGAAATAATCTAATATTTTTAGCTGGTTTCAATATAGTTTGTGCAGGTTTTATGATAAATTGTGAAGATGGAAAAATCACAGGTAGTTTTTGTAAGATTTGCGCCTGAGAATTAGGTATAGTGTTAAGTTGATTTTGTGCTATGCTATCTTCAACAGCATATTGCAAATCACTTTCGTGTATATTCTTGACATGTGCAACATCAGCTTTTATTGCATGTACTTTAGATTGTTCCAAGACTATTGTCTGTGTACCTGAACTTTGTTGAATTATATTACTTTGGTGTTCAATTATTTGTTGAGATTCATGATTTTGACCATTTAAGTTTATTTCTTCCAATGATAAACCATTCTCAACTACTTGATCTTGAAGTTGTTCGGTTTGAGGAACTTTTTGCATATGCCATTCTTGAAAATCAATACACTCTGTTTTAATCAATTCATTATCGCTGGACTTTTGTACTTCTTCAGTTTGATAATTTAACTGATTGATTGTTATAGAATCCTGAGAAGATAATGAATTTTGGTCCTGTACATTAATGCTACCCTTTGTACAAATATTTTCTTGTATATTTGATGTAGCATTATCTTGATCTTGTTGATATATAACCTCTTCGTTTGAGTTTACCTCGAAGGTTAGTCCTAAGGCCGCTGCTTGTTCCGGAGTCAAGTGAATAGTTTGAGAATCATTGTCGTCATTTTGTAAAAATGCGACGAACTCATTATCATGATCGTCATCATCAACAACTTGCTGGAACGCTTGTTGGAGGAGATCGGAAGCACCAGTAGAAGATGCATCGTTTGTAAATACAGTAGAATTCGAAATTTCTGCCATATCCTAAATTTTCTCAGCTTTTTAGCTAATGAAATATAGTTACACGATAATAATAATCACTTTCATGTTTTACAATAACATTTTTCACAATTTTTTCCTCAGAAAATCTCTTAATAATGCGCGTTTATTCCATTTTACTATACACGTTTTTCGCGCAAACAGAAACACATAAGGTATGTGAAGTTTGTCGCAGATGCGGCAAAGAAAATGGCGAGAGCATCGGTATGATGTAGTTACGTGGTTGGTAATTCGTATTTATGTCTATTTTCATCGCATCATTTATTCAATACCATAGATATACGAAGTACTTGTATTTAACGAATCTATAAATCTCATTATCATACTTTTCTGCGTACGTTCAGTTTGTTCTGCTATAAACATTAAAATAAAAGTTATAATAAATTGAAAGAAAAAAATAGAATCTAGTTCATTAAGCAATCTATGAATGTTATTGTAGTATGTTTTACAGACTTTATGTAAAATTTTATGTTTCGAAAATTTAAATAATTGAAAATGAATGTTTATTTTTATGTATCAATTTAATCATATTTCAGTCCAATCATCGCCTACACTGATATTGTATTAAACAACTACTGTATATGATTCATTACAGTTTCACGCAGTTGTATACAAAGATATATTCAATTTATATCAATATTAATTGCTCTTAATGCACAGTTTCTTAAATGTGTAGTGTACAATAATATTGCGAAACTTTGTGAATACAAAGCCTACAATAATATAAAAGTGATATTAAATATATAAAGTATATAAAGTACGAATATGGTAAGTATCATTGACGATTCAAGTTAGTGTGTTGATAATTTATATTATCTCATTTGCAAATAAATTACTCAACTAATTAAAGCTATATTTTATATATATACTTTATTACTTGTGTTACTTCAGTATTTGTAACAATTGTTTAATTATTTAAATTAATAAATTATTTCATTTTATTTTTAA